TAGTGGATGTAAGCTTAGTATTTTGGCTGAGGTGAACCACTAACATCCTGTTCTTTGGTCTAACCTTAACATTTATTTCACCGTTTTCTAAGTATTTATAGAGTCTACACTAGGCCTAGGCCCGCATTAGTTTTGTAGTTGGGCAGAGCAATTTTGAACATCATCAGCTTGACGTCGTTTGTGGGAAGTGATTTTCTTTGTTTCCTTTGAATCTTCTTCATACATCTTTTGGTTTGATGATTTCTACTCGAAACATCAGCAAGTCTCACGCGAATCCCCAAACCCTGTAGAACCAGTCGGAATAATCAATTGACACTCTTTGCAAAAAAAGTGTATATTGTATATTATTTCATACCTCAAACAGTTAATCGACTCCGATAGATGTTATCGTTATAACCTCAAGAACAATATATTGAAATTTCATCTCAATTGAAGTTCATTTCGCCTTTGATTTTCACAAATCACTCTTTTCTCTCTCTCTTTCCCTTTCTCTATATCATTTCCTCTCTTTCTTCTCTTTTCCCTCTCTTCTGTCTTCCCTCTTCCTTTCTTTCTATCTTTCTTACTATAGTTTTTCTATAAAAACCCTTCCCCCATTTATAGCCAAAAAAACAAGAGGTGTTTATTGAAATGATAACATTTTCTCTAAAACTTGACACTTGTCAAGCACGTGTACAACCTAGCATGCACCATGAAAAGTGTCTTGTCACATGTCACTTCCAAATACTTCCACTGCTTTGTCATGTTTGCCACTTATCATGTGTCACCTTCAGACCAAGTAAATATTGAATATAACAGTGATATCTTGTCACTATTGATGACATGGTATCACCAATTAATAATAAAATCCTAAATAAAAAAAGTGAACTCAACTTGGACTTACATGACAAAAATGTGAGGAGTTATTTGTTTATATGACATGTTAGTTATTGATTTTTGTAGGTGTCCATCTGCTTATTTGTTTCAGTATTATTAGTTGGTGATACCACATTACCATGCCACGTGATATCACTGACACCTCCATATTCACATACACACAATTTTTGACACGTGTCCTACAATACACCAAAGTTTACACGTTAAGTTGGTTCCTAACCCAAGGCAAACTTATCTCCATGTTCTACTATTTATATTCTAGCCCTTGAGTTTCTAGGCATCGGGTAAGTAAATTTCAATGACGAAATTCTTTTAGAGGGAAAGAGTTGTGAGACCCAAACATGTATTGCATGAAATTTTACATAATGTTAGGGTCGAAGGTGTAATTGTTTTTAATAATAACTACCGGGGATAATTTTTTAGATGGTATTAATGATTTTTCATGTATTTTAGAATTACATATGCATGTATTATCATTTGTTGAGTTACGCTTCTATCTTAGAGATACCAAATAGATCTCATGAGATAGGGTGTCACCGTTTTATTTGCATCCTTGCAATTTTCCCTCCTATAGATATGATCAGATACATATATGGCCCCGGCATTTTGGATAAGAAACTGTCGAAAATGATATGACATTTTTTTTTTTTGGAGAATGTATTTCTGTCTGGCATTTATATAGTGCCAACAGACGAGTAAAAATGTATGCTCACAAGTTCTCTTGTTATGATTGTTTTAGTGAACTGTTGCTGGGATTTCCATGCTTAAAGTTATTATTTATTATAATATTATTTTGTCATAATTAGTGGGATGTTAATGTTATAACTTTAAGTGCTTAATATTATTTTTATTGTAGTTGGACGACTTTATGGACCTTTTGTGACTCTCACATTAAAACAGACATTTTAATAATCAACACCTCAGGGCATGCTAATTCAACGTTGACCAAATTACATACTCTAGTGTATGTAAAAGTTTTAACTATCTCTTAAGTGAGTGAAGTAATCCATTGCGATAGGACACTTACTCTAACAAGGAAGGAGTTGCATCCCTCCATTCCTAACATTACGAAGAAATGGAATAAGGAACACTCTTCTAAAAAAAAACTTGAACAACTAGGTTACATTAGTTTGCAAGATAACATACTGGGGTTATTTAGGGTTTTTTTTTTTTTTTTTGGGGGGGGGGGGGGGGGGGGGGGAAAAGA